GAATCACATTCCATTATGGATCATAGCAGGGAAGCCTTGGCAGTAGGACCAGAAGGTCAGCCAATCACACTGGGTCCACAGTCAAGAAGCAGGAAGTGCAGCTGGCTTATAAAGTCCCATGCCATGCCATGTCCAGCCTCTAGCCTATTGCTGTGTTCCACTTCCTTCAGGAAGGCCCCACCTCTAAATAGTCCATAACTTTATCAAACAGTATCACTGGCTGACAACAGGTGTTCAGACACAGGAGTCCATGGCAGGACACTAGATATTTAAACCACAGCAACCCTATGTATTTTGTTATCATTTTCCAAAAAGCAAGGTCATTCTCTTCCACAACACTTACGGTCATAATTACACAAATAAAGGGATTAATATTTGTATATTTATTTTGATATAAAGATTCTACCTGATATACTGACCTTCAAAATGTTGAGTTGTCTCAAAAGTGTCACTTATAGCATGAAAAAGAGTGTTTTTAAGACTCATTTTGGACTAAGTACTGCACTTGAAAGATATATTTATGTGATCTCTTTGTGGTTGAAGAAACTCTTTACGCAACATACACAACTGCAATAATAGAAAGTCAATGCCAGATTTTTCTAAGATGTTAATTGTGGCTTGAGCCATGTTTTTGTGAAGGGATTGGTTATAAGTTTTGGTTGATTGTCATGGAAACCCTGCTGCATCCTCAGTACAACAAATCAGACATGTGGTCCATTGCTATTGAAGTAGTGGTACACTGCTTGGTTGTAGGTTTATAGTAGGGCTCTTTACTGTCAAGGTGCAAGTTTTCCAAGTGCAATTAATAACTATTATTTGGATTAGTACCATGAACATGTCGATGCCCTGACTATCATCAAACCAAAATTATAAGTTTACGACCCAAGGATCGTGGTTCCATCATGGAGTTTGCAGTATGACAGTGGCCAAACCCTAATTTCCTTTTTAAATTATTATTTAATTATTTTTATTTTTAATAATTACAGTTTATTCACTTTGTAGCCCCCCTGTACTTCCCTCCCTCCTTCCCTTCCAATCCCACCCTCCCTCTTTCCCACCTGTGTCCCTCTCCCAGACCACTGATAAGGGAGGTCCTCCTCCCATTCCCTCTGATCCTAGTCTATCAGGTCTCATCAGGAGTGGCTGCATTGTCTTCCTCTGTGGCCTGGTAAGGCTGCTCCCCCTTCAGGGGGAGGTAATCAAAGAGCAGGCCAATCTATTCCTGTCAGAGACAATCCCTACCCCCATCACTGTGGAACCCACTTGGACACTGAACTGCCATAGGCTACCTCTGTGCAGGGGTTTCAGGTCATCTCTATGAGTGGTCCTTGGCTGGAGTATCAGTCTCAGAAAAGACACCTGGGCCCAAACTTTTTGGATCTGTTGCTGTCCTTGTGGAGCTCCTGTCCTCTCCAGGTCTTACTATCTCCCACTAATCATAAGATTCCCTGCACTCTGCCCAAAATTTGGCTATGAGTCTCAGCATCTGCCTTGATACCCTGCAGGGTAGAGCCTTTCAGAGGCCCTCTGTGGTAGGCTCCTGTCCTGTTCCCTGTTTTCTCCCTTCTAGGATGTCCATCCTCTTTGCCTTTCTGAATGGGCATTGAGCATCTTATCCAGAGTTCTCCTTCCTGATTAGCTTCCTTAGGTATACAGATTTTAGTATGTTTATCCTATATTGTATGTCTAATATCCACTTATGAGTGAGTATATACCCTGTGTGTCTTTCTGCTTCTGGGATACCTCACTCAGGAATATCTTTTCCAGTTCCCACCATTTACCTGCAAATTTCATAATTTCCTTGTTTTTTTATCACTGAGTAATATTCCATTGTGTAGATGTACCACAATTTCTGTATCCATTCTTCAACTGAGGGGCATCTAGGCTGTTTCCAGCTTCTGGCTATTACAAATAAAGCTGCTACAAACATGGTTGAGCAGATGTCCTTGTTGTATACTTGAGAGGAAAAATACAACCCAAGAAAACTAATTAGTTTCAAGAAAACACAGGAAATAATTAATCTCACTACAGCAAAACAAAAAGTAGCCAAGCACACAAACTTACTACCACAGCCAACATCAAAATCTAAGGATCTAACAGCCACTGGTCATCAATCCCTCTCAACATCAATGGACTCAACTCTCTAATAAAAAGACACAGACTAATAGAATGGATGCGTAAAGTAGACCCAAAAATCTGTTGCATACAAGAAACACACCTAAGTCACAAAAATAGAGAATACCTGAGGGTAAAGGGCTGAAAGACGGCTTTCCAAGCAAATGGACCCAAGAAGCAAGCAGAAGTAGCCATTCTAATATCTGATAAAATAGACTTTCAACCAAAATTAATCAAAAGAGATGGGGAAGGACATTTCATACTCATCAAGGGAAAATTCCACCAAGAAGACATCACAATCCTGAACATCTATGCCCCAAATACAAAGGCACCCACATTTGTAAAAGAAACTAATTTTCTATTGGATTTTTTTCCTTCAATATTTTAGTTGGCTTGTTTGCCTCTTTTTAATTTTAGTGTTAACACTTGAGTCCTTATCTGAGTCAATGTTAAATAATCTGCCACTTTTACCATCTCTTCACAATCTATTTATCCACTCTGCAGTGAGCCCACTCCCAGATGGCTCCTGGGTCCTGCTGTACCATCAGTCTTTGAACACATGTCCCTTCCTGACACAGCCTCTGCAGTCTGACCTGATGCTCTCTCCAGGTCCTAGAATCATCACTTCTCCAGGACACACATGTTTCCCAGAGTGGGGTTTTCTGTTTGTAAATTGTGCACAATTTCCTAGAATTTAAGGCCTCTAGAGCCTCTAAACCCTGAGAGCTAAGAAAGGAGGAAATGAGTAAGTATGCTTGTTCCTGTGCGTGCTGCACTACACACACTTGTACAACAACTTTGTGCCTGTGTTAGTGTGTGAACATATTCATGTGTGTACAATGCACAATTCTGTGAGAGTTCATGTGTTCATGCATGTGTATGCATGTGGAAGTCAGAGACCCACCACAAACACAATTCACCATTGATTTTCAACTTGAGGCAGGGTCTCTACTGGCCTGGAATTCATCAGCTAGGCTGGACCATAGGCACTAAGCCAAGGCCCAGGGATCCATCTGCCTGACTCCACTTCCCTGCCATTGAGGTACAAGTGCACACCACCATACCACCCTTATCACATCAGTTCTGGGGACTGAATGCAGGTCTTCATGAGCCATCACCTCGGCTCATAGCCCATGCTTCACAGATGAGATCCCTGGTACTGTACGATACCATGAGAATAGAAGTGAACAATTAATATTATATATCGAACTTTCAATATTATATATTAAATGATCTATATTTCATAAGGTTATAATTTTTATATTTATATATTTTTTAAACTGTTTCTTACTTTTCAATAAAAATTAAATTATATATTTACAAATAAAACATGATTTTATTCCATTATAAATAGCTTCCAGATACATAATCTATGTATTACCTAACACATTTATTATGATTCTGTGGATACAATGTTTAAAATCTGCCTTCAACAATTTTAAAGAACACAGTACAGTTATTAAAACTGTAATTATCAAGCTGTATAATCATCCCTTACAGTTATTCCTGATGTCTAACTAGACAACTAACTGAAGTGCATACTTTGGGCTCAGTCTTGCAATTCTTTCTGTATCTTCCAAGCCTTCAGTAGCCACCATTTCATTCTCTGCTCCTTTGAATTCGTCATTTTTAGATCTACATATAAGCGATGTTATTCAGTCCCTGTATTTCTGAGGCTGTTTTGTTTAACTTGAGCAGGAGGGTGTCTGTAGCTTGTGAATTATTCCGATTGCTTATTCATAAATTCACAATTTTAACAACCAGTCATCTCAACTAAAAACTTCAGTTATGAGCTAACTGCAGTGCTTGGATAATTTGTTAGCCAACATGATAGAACTACTATAAGGATTTATTTATTATGAACACTTAGGAAACAAAACCAATACACAACTGTTGAACAACTGTAGCACTTCCTCTCCTTTGAGAGACATCATTCTCACTCAGATAATATATGGTTGAGGTAATCTGTGTCTATTTTGCCAATGAAGAAACTGGTAAGTACTAATAAGCCTACAGAGGTGACAACTCCAGGGGTAACAATGTCAACATTAGCTGATTAGGGGGTTGTATTATCTTAAGACACTTGCAAATGAAAGATGGATCCGATATTATACTCTAGTTTTAATGTTTTGGAATTTCCACAGCACCAAGATTCTAGACAGAAAGGATCAACATCTTCCCAGTCACTTCTTAGAGCCCAGGACACTTGGATATTATCAAAATTGCTCCATGCTTATTTTCCAAACTGTGCAAAGCCCAGGGACTGTAACACAGTATGCAGAATGTTGGGGCACATTGGTAAGGGAGACGTCTCTACCTTCCCGATTTTCCTAGAAGACCCTGGCTGGCACACTTTCCTAAAATACTAGAGGAAGCCAAGAGGCTTTGGGGGTCAGTCCTGTCACTAAAATAAACACTCAAGCATAAGGTTATCAAGCTCAGTCTCCAAAAGACAACAAAACAGTTCATTTTTAGAGGTTAATATTTTTTCTCTGCTCTATGTGGCTTTTAACCCATGTGTTCGTAGTTATGTAATGATAAAAGGATAAACAGTGTTTCATAGCTAGATGTATCAAGCTAAGCAATCATCAACTGTTCTTACTAGAAGAAAGACGGGCCTCCAGACCTCAAGGGATGTCCCTTGTGCTGTCATCACCAAAGGAAGAGCAATAGGATAATATCCAGGGAGTGAAGAGACCTCATGCAGAAGGATATGGTAATTGGGAATTGAGGGAGGTGGCAACTCCTATCAGAGAAGGCAACTAAGCGTCCTGGGCCTGACTGCTCAGGAAATGAATCCTGCTCATCTTGATTAACAACTTTACATGCTCTTGTCTTTAGTTGGGGTGGAAAATGAAAGCTTAAGAAAAATAAATTACACGTACCTGGATGAGAGACAGATCCTCAAGATGTAATCGGAAGAGATAGTTTCTGAAAAATACAAACAGAAAGAGGATTACCTTTAGCAGATCTCAAAATGTTAAACCATCATGAGAATGGCAGGTAAAAAGAGGTAATGATGTGAGGGACAAAACATCCTTGTACTAGTAGGAGTAATACAACCATGTAACAGAGAATAGGCGGATCTGACTTACCAAGAGATGTATGTGTGAGGCTGGTGAGAGAACTGTGCCCTGTGCAATGCTTAGATTGGAGGCAGATGCAAGCTCCCATTTTCTCTCAGCATCGATGTGAATTAGGAAGAGGACACGGGCATTTTATTCTGAAACTAAGTTTAGCATAAGAAAAATGAAACACACAACCCCTCTTCCCAGTTCTAGTCTTACCCCTCTCCAGCATTCACTGGGGGGGACTCTTAGACTCTGAATTCAATCTGTGTTCCAACACTTTGCCTTGCTGATTGGGTTCAGCTTAGAGGCAGAAACTTATCAGTTTGCTCAAGGAAACTTAACAGTTCTGTCAGCTTTGCAGATCATATGTGATAGAGCTATCAAAAACAAGATAACTACCAATTTCAATAAATAATGTACAACTGAAACAGTCAAGCAAAGACAAAGGAAAACCTAGATTTCTTTCTGCAGCTTTTGGGCAGCAACTGATTGGCTTCTACCACAAGTGCATCTTCTGCCTCCAGATGAAATCATGAGAGCCTCAAGAGCATCAGGAAGATGACGCTCAGTGGCAGCAGAAACACCATGAGAAGGGGAGATAAGCCATCCAAATATGCTCCAATATTCCAGGACAAAATAGAACATGAAGGAAAGCTGACCTCAAGAGGCAATTGGTAAAAAGTTCTCATAGAAGTCAAGAACCAATGATGTGCTGTTATAGCCTGGTTTAAGGTTACTTCTGTGGCCCAAAGAGGAAAAATAATCCTTGAGAGAATGAGGAAACATCCCTGAAACTGTAGGTAGTCAGGTGGGTAGATCATGGAGGAAGAAGACATCCAATTGCACAGGAACTAGAGGGGAGCAGGGGCTGAGAATGGTACCATGAGTATGGTACCTGTACCCCTGAATGCTACCAGGGTTTTCAAATGGTTTCTGAAAACTGTTCAATTCACAGCAGCAGCCTGTTTGCTATACATTTTCTGTGTCTTCAGTTAATGTCTTTATATACTGTCACAGAAAGTTCTAGAACCCTTGGCAAGAACCTTCATTTGTAACACCAGGCTTGGAATGCTTTTTAGGAAAGGGAACACCTCAGGCGGGTACCACAAACAGACCAGGTTTAAAAGGAAAGTTCTCTGAAGAGGACAGAGTGGACATTCTGCATGCATGGAAAGGGATAGGACTATGGGAACATTTTGCCTGGCCCAGCATGTCCTCCCACGTGGAGACACAGACCACAGATCCTTGCTGCACGGAATCTCCCACTTGGTTCTCCAGCTGCAGAAGGCTTCCCTTCCATTGTCACAGCAGCCTATGAGCTAAGACTACTTACGCAAATGCTAGGGCTGTGCAATTGAATGGATGTGTCAAGAAAACTGGATGACTGTGCTTCTGGCTCCCTGCCTGTAACATGAAGTCGATAATCACCTTTCACCAGGGAAAGTTTTGACTCCAAACATAAAACAGGAAACCATGACTGGCCCTTTGTAAGCACATAATTTGCAGTGCAGGTATTTAATTTATTTATGGAAGTGATGGAGAGTCCCCAGCATATTAAAGTGCTCAGCATACACTCCACCGTACAGGGGAATGGTGGTGGGTCCTGTCTTTGCCAATTGCAGAGCACAGGCAAATCTGAGGGTCTCCCCTGCCTGGCTCACCACTGAGCTGTTAGGAATGGGAGTGCTGACACTGAGTATTCAGAGAAGTTGGCAATACTCTTTCTCTTGTCATTGGTTCTGACCAGTCAAGCTGTTCTTTTCAGGCTTAATCATTTTAAGAAATATTTTAAGTAAATATCTTTAAGTATTAGTAATATTTCAAAGATCTTTACCTTACCTCCCACACTCAAACATATGTGTGCCTGTGCGTGTGTGTACAGACACATCTTCATGTTCACAGTGCAGTACTGATCACAGGGGACATTCCATAAATAAAATAAAATAAAATAAAATAAAAAAATTCATGCCCAAAGAAAAAGTTACACATATCCTTGGGCTACTGAAACATGCAGATGGTGGTACTGTCGTACTCTGTGAAGCTCTGGGCTGGATGGCTGGAAAGAAGAGCCTAAAGCCTTCATGTTGAAGGACAAATGAGAAGAGGTACTAGGGACATTCACTACAATCTCTGCCTCCGGTTTCCAGTGTTTTCCATAAGAGAAGACACCCAATTTAAAGTGACCATCCACATTATGCCAAACAAATTCAAATTTGTAAACACTGTTTTATCTGCCTCTCACCTGCTGCCAGCCCTTAAAGTTACCCCAAATCCCTTCAGATACTGCCGGTCAATTTCAGTATCTACTTTTGTCCTACACAGCTGAGTTCTACAGCTCCTATCCAATCATCTCCTGGATAACAAATTTATATGGCAGAGACACTTGGCAAGTAAAAAGAAGGAGCAGAGAGGAGATGAAGTCTCCAGGAACAATACTACAAACCTAAGAGTCCCATCATCATCACCACCTCCACTCTGCCTGCCCTAAGAAAGCACCGAGAAAGATACAAGCTGTCCCTGGGGAGTGTTTCTTGGGTTACAAGATGGACACTGATGACTTTCAACTCAATTTCAATCATTTTTCAACTGAAAGGAAAACACTGACTACAATTCTTCTGGATGCAAGCAACTAAAGAAGAAATATCCTTCGACTTGTAGAGGAGAAAAGTTCTACAAGTGGAGAAAAGCAGTATAAATGGTCCAGTGTGGTAGAGACTCGGCGAAAGATTCTATGTTTATTTATATCTATGTTCTGAGGCTGACTGTGCTGGCAGCCTTGAGGACCAACCATCCAAGTTCCTCTTCCTTATTTTGCCTGCACCAAACAAAGGGACAGTAGCAGCAGTCCTTTGGATGGAGTCACTTCTCATCTCCCAGGCACATTCACTGAGGCACGGACACATCTCTCTAATCAGAGCCTCTATGCAGCTCAGAAAATGGCTTTGCTTCCAGGCCATTCACCTTCACCTTTGTGACTGTGATCTAGCTGTGACAGATGTCTCCGCATTGAGAGAGCAGGTTTTCTGACTGACCTGATTACACAGAGCCTCCCTTCATCTGGTTCCTTAAATTCTTCTTGAAACTATCTGCACATATTTCATTTGTACAAGGGAGCAGGAGCTGCACTTACGAAACGAGAGAACCAAAGTACACAACCTATCAATGTACTGAAAAATGGGTAGATATTTTAAGTACTCCTAATTTTTTTTTTATTTTTGAGATTAAAATATAGTTGCACATAAATTCCCCCTTCCCTTTCTTCTCTCCAGATCCTTCCATGTACGTTCCCCTTCTTTTCTTTCAAAATTATGGCTTCTTTTTCTGTGTAGTTGTTGTGTGTTTTTATTACTAAATCACATTCTTTTTGCCAAAAGGAACCATGATGTAGGTGTAGGATGGCTCAGTGAAAAAGCGTCTATTGTGCAAGCATGGGGATTGGAGTTCAGATCCCCAGCACTCCTGTACACAGCTGGGTGTGATGCTGCCACTCAATAGCCAGTTTGTGTGTTTTGATGGGGGAGGGTGGAGACAGGAGATTCCTATAGCTCCCTTTCTAGCCTAATCAGTTAGCCCTGAAATCAGTGGAGAGACATAAAAAATTGATTAGAAAGGAATTGATGATGACTTCCTATGTTGGCCTCTGGCCTTACATACTTGTACATACACATGCTATACAAAGCTAATAAAATAAGACGAATAATTAAGCAATATTTTAAGTGACTGATTTAATGAGCAATATAGATGCAAGAGCACCTGACCATTTCTGTAATTTGGACAGGAAGTTTATCCTCCAGTTCCACGTGCAGCAGTGTTGTGAGACAGAAGAACTGTTAAGAGATATGGTCTTGCAATCAAAAGTTAAATCACTGTTGAAGGAGATACTGGCGCCTTGGGCAGCTTCTGTCTGTCTCTTTGCTTCCTAGCCTACTCAAATGCCTATTTTCATGTTAGTTGATTGCATTTCTCTAGGGTTTTTTTGTTTTGTGGGGGATTTCTGTTTGTTTATTTTTGTTTTGAAGGGTAGTTGCTCTTAAATGTTTGTTTAATAAATAATGCATCATAGAAACCCCCAAAAGCTCCCATATTCTGATGGTTCTTTCTATATAGCAAATATGTAACATTGCACTTTTTGATCCTATGCCACAATGCCCACTGATTTGAAGGTGATTTCACAAGATGAATCCCAAGTGAAATGCTGACGAGATTCCTCTAATTCCCTCACCTGGACTGCAGGATCTGAAGAAACATTTTGAACCCTACTAACCTCCTACCTCTTTCTCAAACTCTTTTTTCTCTAAGCCTAGCTCTAAGCTACTTTGCACAAAAAAATTGCAATCCTGCTAGGCAACAAGAAGGACCTTAAATCTCTCAAGACAGTTTGATCTATTACAGTTTAGGTCAGTGACCTACGAAGTTAAAGGTTACAAAAAGAAAGAAAATCTTCGAAAGGGAATAAAGAATTGATACTCCCAGATGTTGGGCCACTCACAGCACAAAGTAAGATCTATGTGCTCTGCAAATGGCTGCTCTCTAGGGCACTGCAGAAGACGCAAGCACTTTATCTTGCGATTGTGTGAGCACAGAGGTAGGAAAACAAAATATGTGAGGTCCAGGAGAAAGGCCACCACCCTTTCCAACATGAGAGAATAATGTTTTGGGCTCCCAGCCAAAGATGTTAAGCAAATGTTGCTCTTAGCGTCTATTTCTCTAATGGGGCAATTTGGGAGAAGCTCAAAGCTTTAAGTATTCACATTAATCTTCATAACACCTTTAGATGTAAACAGGTAGTAATGAGGGCCATGGTAATTCTTCAAGGGAGAAAGGCATCATCGGTACAAAAGATTAAGATGTTAGACTGTT